AAAAAAAAAAAAAAAAAAAGAAAAACGTTAGCAAAAGAGAGGAGACAACCACTATCTACATTTCTTTAGTCTCAAGTTCGAGTCATTCAAGGGGTAAGTGGGGAACCACTATTGATCCTCGTAAAAAGAGAAAAAAAACCACTATCTACATTTGATTATTGTGGGGCCAACCTCTTTTTTCTCTCCACGCGCTGTGCATCTCACACACACATTTCATGAGAATTTTGAACATCACTTACCTCTATGCATGTGTAATTATAATTTTTATATAATTTTAGATGGAGCTTTGAAATCAAAGAGCTGTGTTAAAATACCAAACCTCAAACCTGATGTATTTAATAAAAAACCTCTCAGCATCAAATTTTCAAAACTCATAAAAACCTTATGAAAACCTCCTATTATGGATGCTCTAAGGGCGTGTAGTTTATGAGCTCAAATTAATCACGTGTGAACATGAAATTCGACTGTAAACAGATCCGTGATTTGACAATTCAAAATCATGTATGAACTTATGGTTTTACTGCTAAAATTTACACCCACATGAGTGTGTGTATGTGCATATGGTTTGAAAATTCATCCACACAAATATGAACTAATCTTCCCCAATTGTGGAATGCGCTGTAAGCAACTTGGAACCATTTTTTTTTTTTCTCCCCATAAAAGTGGGGGAGTTTTCGTGAGATGTGATCCTCTCTTAGTCAAAGATTTGACTTTTAAGGGGAAATTTTAGGCAGCAAATACTGCAAAGTGGTGGTCATTATTAGAATCAAATTCTTTAATTATACGCGCAATCATGAGGATTGCTGACTCTCGAATTGTTTATGCCCTACAAAGGCACTTGATTAGACACATTTTTGGATTGTAAAGTGTGGAATGTTCTCTATTTTTGTTTTTTTTTGTTTTTGTTTTTTTGGTAAAATAAAAGAGGTCAAAACTTAAAAACTGCTACACCACTATATGACGCTGATGAGAAACCCCAGCGAGATTATGCTGCAATCAGAAGCCCGTCCCGTGACAGTAAAAATACTACTAATGAACATTGTTTTAAATAACTCGCTATGTAGCTCGCTATATATCTTATTTTTGGAAAAACGCGACATAGCCTTATATATTTAGCTTTTGTCCCGAAAAACTTGCGCGAAATGTCAAAATGACACGCTTTCTTATGCTATTTTGCACTATTTCACGCTATTATGCGCTAAATTGCGTTATATTTCTACGACGACATTTGAACAACAAAATAATCAAAAACTCATATTTTTAGGGATCATAGTCATATTTACAAATGACAACTAAAAACTAAAAATTTGATAATGATTTCAAATTAAAAGTTTGAAAATGCAAAGTCCTAAATTGAATAGTGCAATATTTATCGGTCCATTTTTGTTATATCATTTTATTTTAAAAAGTTCATATATCTAATGGTTAGAATTAAGTTTTAGTTAAATAAAAAAATAATAATTAAAATGCATATACTTAAAATTATACTATGACTTACCTCATTATATTTTCATTGTTTGTTTTTACTTTTTAGTATATTCGTTTATTATTTATTATATATATTACATTAAATATTTGTGAGAAATAATCCTTAGATGTTATTTTTTAAGTCATTCAAATACTATGATAATTTTTGTAATCGACCATCCACTTTTATTATATGCAAATATATTTGTAATATTTATATAGAAAAAAATTATACATAAATAGCTTACGCAACACGCTACGCTATTTACGCTACGCAATATTAAGACCAAAACGCGACGCATCACGCTATACGCGTTTTAAAACACTGCTAATGAATAACGAAGCTTAATTTTGTAAGAGACACAAACATCGAGATGGTATTTGTAATTTTAGAAAGTGAAGGGGTCCTTTTGTAGTTTTGGGCAAATCTCAAGAACTGTTTTCTTGATTAAACCATAGAGAAATGCAGTTCAAATCCTAATTTGATTGATTGAGAGTGGACATGAACAAGATTACTGCACACATAAACTGATCAGTTAATAAGATCATATGAGAGTTCTGTTGGAACTGAAACTCTGAAAATTCAAGCTTGTAATAAGAGTACAACACAGTTTACACATTTATCATGCGAGTTTTAGGCTCTACTTTGCGACCAAAGTACGAAGATGCCTTGCGAGTTGTGACACAATAGCCCAGTTTTTAACACATGAAACAAATTATTTTAATAATCATGAAGTCCAACTCCTCAGTTACGGGTGTAAATGAGTCTAGCAGAACTCGCCTTTTGATATTTAATATTGTCTTGAATCTTTAATGAGCCGATAAGTAAGCTTGATCTCGACTCGTTTATTAACAGTACGAGGCCAAATCAAGTCTTAATGACCCTAGCTAAGGTAAAGACTCAGAAAAACTACATAAAATGTTTTTGTTCTCAAGCCTTGACAGAACTTGAAGTCTAATTAAACAATCCAAATCAAGCCGAGTTCACGGTTTGTTTGTTTCGTTTAACGACGCTCATAAAAGAACACACAAAAAGTAGCGTGGAAACATATATATTAAATACTACACTAGATCTAAGCTCCCCGATCATAAAAACAGATGTTTGAAAAGAGGACAATATCCCCCACCAAACAAGATATTTCCCGACAAATTTAAAGTTACATCAATATCAACAAGATTTTTCTTTTTCTTTACTTTTTTTCCTAAGTTGGGTAGCATAGAATGTCTTCTTCCGAACACAACAAACTTTAGCTTTCCCCCTACACAAACAAAAATGAAAGCATAAGTACAATTCAAGTTTCAAATCATTTGGCTGATATTAATTTTGATTAGACTGCAAGGGCAGTCATCGAATTTTTCACCATTAGATCAACAAACATGCATACTTACTCATGCGCGCGCGAGTGCCAGGGTCGAATTTACTTGTTGTTATATGGGGGCAATCCCCCCCCCTCCCCCCTCAAATTTTATTTTTACTATTAGTATTACAAATTTTAATTCTCCCCCCACCCTCCCCCCCCCAATTTATTTTTGCACCTTCTGATTTTTGCTTTTAAAAGTCACTCACCAGACCAACTTGTCCACAATTGTCAATTAACAATTCAATACTTCTTTTATTTTACTATACACTATAAGAAATTTCAATTTTAACTAGACATTTACCTAGCTCTTTGTAGGTAAAGTGCTTGCTGGTAAATTTTTGTCTAGCTATTTTATAGGTAAACGGATTTAGCTAGAAATTTTTGGATTTAGCTAGAAATTTCTATCTAGTTAAAATTGACATTTCTTGTAGTGATAAATTTTGTATATTAATTAATTGACCCGTATAAAAGACTTCAACTCTCTTTTGCACAGGCTAGGGCTGGTATTTTTTTGTCCGAAAACCAAAAATCCAACGACCGAACCGATAAGAAATAAACCAAACCGAACCGACTTATGTGTAGGGGTAACCAAAAATCAGTTACCAAAATGTTATCAATTCGGTATCGGTTCTGAACACATTATGTCATGTCTTTGGCCCCCTCTTAACTAATTTTCTGGAGTCGCCCTGGCAAGTGTCCATCCAACAGTAAAAAAAAAAATGATTATTGTATTGCAGTCACCTGCATGGCTAGTCACCTGCATGGCTGACTCTAGGGGGAGGCACCATTGGCCCATGCCTAAGCCTTCAATTATTATGAGCCTCATTTTTTTTTAATGTTTTATATATATGTGTTTGGTTTTGTTTACTTACACAAATAAAAGGACTAATGACAAATATGAACTTGACCCATTACACATGAATAGACTAATTAATGAAGGGGCTAATAGCAAAATATGTACTTTGTGTAGATATTTGAGGCCCTGAAAATTTCTTTTGTTTTCTTATGATGTTCGGTCCGAACAAATTGTGTGAGAATAAACATTCTTTGTGTAATATGATTTTTATATTCTCCTTCTTGTTGTCTTCGTGACTGCTTGAATGCAATTTATAATTTATTAAAGGTAGTTTTTCCAATGTCTAGAAAAACAAGAATAATTGTTTTTTTTTTCAGTTAATTATTTATTTAATAGTCTTGTTTAATTAGATTTTTTTCTTGTATGATTCTATCTACAAATAGTCTTACACGCAAGTTCAAATCAGAAAATTCGAGAATGTAAAATTTGTCCGGAGCCTCCAAATTTCTAGAGACGGCCGTGGTCACCTTAATTAGTGGTTTTGTGCCATTATTCATGAACTGTATGCTAAAAGTTCGATGAATTTAGGTCACATATGCCAGTGTCACAAATTGCAAAAACACGGTAAAAGACTTTTACCATATGTGTGATCCAAGGTAAAAAAACTCAATGATAACAGTGCCCCAGTACAACCTACAAATTTTGGGACTATGAGAGAGGATGATAACTCATATCTAAAGTAGAAGAAGATCATATCATATTTGGATCAAACCACCGTTTTATTCAAGTCATATCAAACTAAGATAATACTTCAAATTCACTCCAAACACTTCAAAGTATAGTGGAATACGAAAAAGCTCATCAACCATAAAAAAACCAAAATGCAGTAAAAACTAAAACATTCAGAAATCAAGAACCCAAGTTCAAGAACTGATCTTTTTTCCTTTTTCTTTTTTTTTTCCTTAAA